GGCGGGACCCGCGCGGGCCGAGGACGCCGTGCAGCTGGACTTCTCCACCGAGCGGCCGGCGCGCCAGGTGAGCCCCGCCTTCCTGTCCTTCACCATCGACGCCAACCTGGCCACGAACCCGCGGTTCCTCACCTTCCTGGGGTAAGCTCGGCCGCCGCCCGGCCCCCGCGCCCCTCCTCGCCTCTCTTTCGTCTCTTTCGACGCACGGAAATTCCCCGCCGTCTACCACCTGTCTGTGTCTGTGTCTGTGTCTGTGTCTGTGTCTGTGTCTGTGTCTCTGTCTCTGTCTCTGTCTCACTGCGCAGCGACGCGCTTGAGGCGCGCCCGGGGCGAGCGCACCCAGAGGGCTGCGAGCGCTCGAATGTGCTGCAGCGCGAACAGGCGGCCGGGCGGGCGTCCGTCCTCTAACTGTGAGGAAGGGTTAAAAAAAATCAGATGGAAAATACCTCAAAGGAGAATAAGCTTACTTACTCCATATATATACTTTAAAAGTATACACATATAATATAGTATGTATATTTTAAGTAAACTTTTAAAGTTCATAGCTAAATTAAGCACAAATTTCCCATATTACACTTTTTAAAAAAAGCCTATTAAATAAATGAGACGTGGGAAACCATTGCAGTGCCATACAGAGCCTTACTAGAAAGATATCTCTTCAAGATGAGGCTGCAAAATGTGGCACTGCTTTCTCCGCTGTCGTTTTTTCCTCATAGGAGAAAGACCAAACCTGGTGCAGGTTCCCTGGCTGATCCCAACACGGGGAGCTGCAGGGACAGTCGCAGGTCAACGAGGCCACTCATCTAGGTCATGAGAGCCTCCGGAGATGGCCACACCTCAGTCAGCCCGGGCGCTGGGTATCTTGCCACTCATTGCCAAACACCTACACGCTGGCCTTCCTGTGCCCACACTGTCAGCTGCCATTACTAATTTCAGTCATTTATTCTGCAAATAAAAGCAGGTAGCCTACTGGTTAAGAGACTGGCAGTCAGACCCACCCTCGCCTGATTCCCAGCTCTGCCAGAGTTGGGTGGCTTCATTTTTACTGGTTGCTTGGCAACTCCAGCCTCAGTTTCTTCACCTGTAAAATGGAATTTCTATAAAACTTTCTTGCAGGATCGTAATGAGGACTTGATGAGATAACAAATAAGTACTTAGCATAGTGTTTGATAGAGTGCTCCCAATTTAAGTGAACTGCTTCTTCCTGGAAAATGGCAAGTATTTGATAGCCATTCACCAGTTCTCATATCTTTTGATTATAGTTAACCTCCATCTTTCCCTCTGTGGGAGAATTTCCTGGTGGGGAAGAGTCCCTACTTTTTACCTTTCCCCTTAAGGATAGGAAGGTGATACAGGCAGCAGCTGGTTGGGAGACAGAAAGATTACTCCGGAGAAACTCTAAGGGCTACATATTTGAGGACCCCAGGCCTCACTTC